TAAACAAAAACATTTATTTTGGATGCGATTAATCGTTTGACAGCACTAATTCTTACAGATTTATTGGGTAGTATATGTTACTTACTACTGGTAAACATGAATTAAAAAAAAAAAAATAATGACCTGGGGTAGTTTGAAATGATACAGGTCTCACTATGTGCTTGTGAGTCAATCAAAAAGATGTCAATTTTTATAAAAATGAACCCCAAAAAAATTAAACCAATTTTTGCAACATTTTCATGGCATTTCGCCTCAAATTACTCATTACTATATGCCCAGATGTTTTACTTTTGAGGTTCATATGTACTTTCCATTATTTACAAAGCTGAATATTAGATTCTTGTTATACTGCGATACAGTATTTTTATATCCAATTTTTATAATTATATATATTTCTAATTAGTTTGATTAGATTAAATTACATGACATTTTCTGCTTAATTGACATGAAATAATATCACAATCCCAAAAATGGCCCTAAATGGCTCTTAATTTTCTTAAAACAAATTCTTTAAAAAAAAATATTTTGATTCTTCCCGGCTTGAACATTTCCTAGAAACACAAAATATCCAAAAAATATTGTTCGATTTTGTATAATTGAATTAGATTGTATGAAAATTATATTATTTTAAAGGGGTCATATGATGAGAACATTATTTTGAGTATTTGGTGTAATGAAATGTGTTTATGCGGTTTAAGGTTAAAAAAACACATTATTTTCCACATACTGTACATTATTGTTTCTCCTCTATGCCCCGCCTTTCTGAAATGCGTCGATTTTTACAAAGCTCGGTCTGAAAAGCGAGGTGTACTCTGATTGGCCAGCTAACCAGTGCATTGTGTTTGGCCGAATACCTCAAGTGTGTGACGGAAATGTTACGCCCCTTACCATACTGTGATGCCGTGTCCCGGAGCGACCGACGAGACAAAAACATTAAAACCCATTATAAACGAGGCATTTGTTGCATCCAGTGGGGACATAATTACGAATTATTATGACTTATACTGTCTTTTTATGTGTTGCATCGCGCCGCGTAAACATAAAACCATGTCTGCATTTGTGATCAGAGAAACGACAAACAACAAGCGTTACTCTACACTGCTCAAAACTCGCGTTGGAATCGTCAGTGGCAAAATCCTTTAAATATAAAAAACGTATTTACAGTCTGTGAGTCAGAACAGCCGGCATTGTAGTCTACTCTCCCAGGATCAGGAAACAGTCCTCCAAAAATCTGAATATTTGGTTTGAACTGTTCTGGAACAGTGTTGTAAATACAACTTAACCACTGATTTCTAGTCGTGAAAATATGTCTTAAATGTCTGACATAACAATAAGATGCAACATGAACAATATTGTATGAAGTGTTTGTTTACATCATGTTGCGCCTCACGTTATGAAAACAATGTTCGGGATAACACGATCAAAAGTTCGTGTTGTAGACAGTTTGATGTTGGATATTCATCCAAATTATGGTGAAAACCAAAAACATTTGTGTGTTAAAATAACTTTTGTGTGTTCAAAAAGTAAATAAATGCTTATATTACTTCACTGGCCAACGGAGCAAACCAACACCGTGACGTCACACGCTGTGGTATTGCAAGATGGCGGAGCCCTTGCTCCAAAAGCTATAACAAAACATATTTTTTCTTTAAATAGGTTACATTAATCGTGTTTATATTAGGGGTGTGCGATATATATCATCTGCGATAATATCGTAATTGTTGTTTTAACGATGTGTGATTTGACATTATCTAGTATATTACAAAAACCAAACAAAACACACCTACAGAGTGCACGCATGCGTGACGTGATGAAATCTAGTGGGTTAGACTAGTGCGCATGCACATTTAGAGTGCGTTCTTTCACTGAAAATATATATATATTTCATATAGTTAATATCACGCGAAGAGAGACGTTTTTTTCTCCAAAAATCAGCATGATTACAAATGTGATACTGATTTTATACAACAGTTCGATAAACAAGTTAATATTAAGAGACTTACATTTAAGACACCATATTGCCTGTTTCAGAATCAGAATCAGAATGAGCTTTATTGCCAGGTATGTTTACACATACGAGGAATTTGTTTTCGTGACAGAAGCTTCCACAGTGTAACAGAATGACAGTGACAGAACAAAAAACACAGATAATAAAAAATAGAACAAGTAAATAAGGAATAAAAATATAGCATTAAACAGTGTGTAAATGCAGCTTCTGTGTTTCCTCTGCATTGCAAAGATACATTTTGTTGATACTGATTTCATTTGCCTGGTAAAAGCCCAAAAGTCTTATTCTAACCAACTGATTAAATGTAAGAATTTGACTCAAAAGATGAGCCACACAGAAAAAAATGGCGTTATAAAGGTAAAAATGCCCATAAAAGGTAAAAATCAATTTAAACTAATTGAAAAAGATTAGCTACTTTCTATCACTGCTGTGAACTAACCACCACACAGAATATGAAGAATATCAAAAACATTAGGAGTCAGCTGTCCACGGTAGTCCTTAAGATGTCAGCACAATAACACACTCTGCAAAATATCGTCTAATTATTGTTATCGATAAAATTCCAGAAAATATAGAGATATCTTTTTTTGTCAATATCGCACACCCCTAGTTTATATATATTTTAATTACAGTGGAAATCAGATACTAAATGTGAACTTGACTGACTGCTTCACTTCCACCTTAAGAGAAAAGCTCTGATTGGGGGATTTAAACTCTTAACATCTTTTAGCCCTAAACATTAAAGCTAGTAGAGGCTAGTGGAAACCAGTTCAATGTAAAAAAAAAAAATGTTTTGAGCAGAAATAACTAGGGATGCGCCGATCCGATATTCATATCGGGTATCGGCTCCGATAGTGCCATTTTTCTCGGATCGGGTATCGGTCAGAGAGGGCCGATCCAAATCCAAGATTTTTATTTTTTTTCCCGATTGTGCGAATTATTCTGTGTTACTTCTGAAGCCATACAATAGCTTAATGTGAGCTACATATGAATATTTAAGTCCTTACATTAAAGTTCACACAAACTCTTTTCTCCACTGTGGCTGTCAATCATTCGTTCAGCCTAAACCCTGGTCGCGTTCGGTTACAGCAGTCAGTTCGGTAAAGCTCTCTCCAAGATCATTCTGTGTTCCCATTATACTTGATTTGTAAATACATGTCTATGATTTTGCAAAAAGGACTTTATCTTCTTGCCGGAGTTTAATGTTGTTTTGTTACTTGCTACCGGGTGTCTGTGAGAACAAAACACGGGCGTAGAAAATACTATAAATTGTTTTTAACGTGCACAGTAACTGAAATTTAAAACTGTTAAAAGAAAGGCTCAATAACTCTTGCACAGATATAATACACTACGCATCAATTTCTCTTCCCTTTGTGCTTTGCAGTTTTTAACAAGAAGCGCTTACAATGTGCGCATCCGGTGTGCAGAATGACGACGTCACAGCCTGACGCCGTGTTGCTTCAAGCGCATCATTCTGCACACCGGATGCGTTGAAAAGTTGGTTTTTGGATGAAACGCTGACCTTTGTGACCCATCCCTATCTAAAAAGTTACAATTAATAACACTTCAAAAATGTCAACAGACTAGGGATGCGCCGATCTGATATTCATATCGGGTATCGGCTCCGATAGTGCCATTTTTCTCGGATCGGGTATCGGTCAGAGAGGGCCGATTTTTTTTCCTGGTTGTGCGAATTATTCTGTGTTACTTCTGAAGCCATACGATAGCTTAATGTGAGCTACATATGAATATTTAAGTCCTTACATTAAAGTTCACACAAACTCTTTTCTCCGCTGTGGCTGTCAGTCATTCGTGTTCAGCCTTTAAACCCTGGTCGCGTTCGGTTACGACAGTCAGTTCGGTAAAGCTCTCTCCAAGATCATTCTGTGTTCCCATTATACTTGATTTGTTAATACATGTCTATGATTTTGCAAAAAGGACTTTATCTTCTTGCCGGAGTTTAATGTTGTTTTGTTACTTGCTACCGGGTGTCTGTGAGAACAAAACACGGGCGTAGAAAAGACTATAAATAGTTTTTAACGTGCACAGTAACTGAAATTTAAAACTGTTAAAAGAAAGGCTCAATAACTGTTGAACAGATATAATACGCTACGCATCAATTTCTCTTCCCTGTGTGCTTTGCAGTTTTTAACACGAAGCACTTACAATGTGCGCATCCGGTGTGCAGAATGATGCGCTTGAAGCAACACGGCGTCAGGCTGTGATACGTAATGTAATGCGTGTTGTAAAGATCGCGAGTAAAAACAAAAGAAAAAGAAAAAAGAATGATTATCAGTTCCACACACAGAGATATATAAATTCTACATTTATTTAAATGAGGAAAAAAAACTTCACTGGTATCGGATCGGTATCGGCCAATACCGAACCCTAGGTATCGGAATAGGTATCGGAGGCGAAAAAGGCGGATCGGAGCATCCCTGGAAATAACCAGCGGGCCAGTATCGCAACAATTAAATTATGGTAAATTGTGCAGCCCTAATAAAAAGGCTTTTCTTTTTTTTTTTGCACTCCATCTGTGCAGTTGTTAAAACAACGCTGCATTCATTTGGTACACATGCATGCCGAACCAAAAGACCTATACCGAAAATTTTCAGTAAAATTTGTGTACCAATACACCCCTATTAAGTAGGTTAAACAATTGTTTTTATAAAATACAATAAAAACAAGTGATGAGTCAATACTATTTTTGTGGTAATCAACTTTATGCCACAAATAATGTAGATTGATCTTCATTTATATTTATCTGGATCTGGGAACTTTCCTTCAAATTTCTTGTAAGATAAAATGTTTACAGTAAGTGTAATCCCTATTTCATTTTCAGCAAACGTGAAGAGGAGAAGAAGAGAGGGGTTCTTACAAATCCTGTTAAAATGAAAGAAATCCAAAAGATGGTGAGCAGTGTACATTGCATGATATTTTGTGGTATGTTTAGTGCTTCACTTCAAAATGTTACCTTCACTTCAAAATGAATTGGTCTTACTTCACAGGAAGTTGCATTAGAAATTTATTTGACAGAAATATAAATGTGCCTAATTGCAATCCAAGGTTAATGACATTCTTGGAAATTAGTATTTCGCTCTGGTCCACAAAATGAAGGTCAGTTTACTAAATATCATGTTAGACTTTCTGAAACACTTTGTCTCTCAATGAACTTTTCTTTGTAAATAAATTCTGCTAAAAAAATTGTACTTAAAATCAAATTCTACTTAGAATAATGCATGTTGTTTGTTACCTCAGTTCAAATTCAGGAGTTAAATGGGAATTTAAAAAAAAAGGCATTCTCATTTTTTTTTTCTCAACATAGTTGCGTCACAATCTTGAAAAGGAAAAGAGGAAACAAAAAAAGAAGAAAAGAGAGGAGAAAGAGAGGAGGAAGGAGAAAAAGGACAGAAAGAGGAGTTCAAGTTGCA